TGTATACAAATACAAAACAAAAACATCACAGTTTACTGTGTGACTGAAACAAAGGGAGAAGCAGTAATTCAGATGTATTTTGAGGGGGCAGCAGTAGCTCAACAGGTTGAGCGGGTTGTCCAGTAATCGGAAGGTTGCAGGTTCGATCCCGGCCTCGAACAGAGAATTCTGCTGTTGTGTCCTTGGGCAACTTAACCCACCTTCCGTGGTCGGAGGGACCTGTGGCGCCTGTGCTCGGCAGCCTCGCCTCTGTCAGTGCGCCCCAGAGCAGCTGTGGCTACATCGTAGCTCATCACCATCAGTGTGTGAATGTGTGTGTGAATGGGTGAATGATACACTGTGGTGTAAAGCGCTTTGGAGTCCTTACTCTGAGAGGTGCTATACAATGCGGGTCATTTATCATTTATTTGATGTTATCTTGGACACAGAGTCCTCTGGGCTACAGAGGACAGGAACCATCTGTCTCATCAGCATGCAGTTCAAAAGGGCAACGTCTGTGATGCCACACGAGTATTTTAATTCTACACAACACGCCACATTAGTTAGAAGTTAGCTTGTGTGTATGTTTGACATTTAAATACTGTAAAATATCGAGACCCTGGATAAATATCATCTTCTAGGTCACCATATGTCACCATTGGGAGGTGTGGAGCGCTGACACATTTTTCCAGTTTTGAGCACTAATCCTCCCTTTGGTATCAGTCCTTAGTTAAACCTAAACACTCTAACATTAAGAAGACAAACCTATTTGCTGCGTTTCAAGGCATGGTAAATAATCTTCAAGGTTGGAAAACTGCAGTGTCTCATTTCATTTGGAGCAGTCATGGAAAACGTCAGCGCAGTGTAGCACGGAAGCATCGGTTTCCCTTCTCCAAACCAACAAATACCTTGTTTGCATGCTATTATGGAGAAGCGTCTGACATTTAATACCAGGAGTGTATCAAATTAAATATGAGTGGATAATTCTTGTAGTTTTGAACCAAAAGAAAATATCACTTACACATTGAGCTCAGCTGAAGTGCTACCCTTCAGTGGAACATTTCAGCTTTTCTCTTTTGTCCTCTGAAGTGATTTTAAGTTGGACAAGTTTTCAACAGCTCTCAAAATGTATGGTGCACTTTTTACTCCACACCAAAAAGCAAACCTAAACGGTGGCTAGTTGGGACTAAATACAGAGAAATTCAGTCAGCGTGCAGAGACAAAAGCAGGAAGGCTAGAGGTAAAACTATGAAAACAACTCATCTAATATTTGCAAAAGGATGCATTAAATTAAAAAATGTATTATCACACAATGCAACTAATTGAAAATTTAATTGTTGATTAACTATATGACTAGTTAAAGAGGGACTGCACACCATCAGAAAATGTAACTCCCCCCCTAGTCAAGATTTGGAAAAATGCCATGAAAATGGGCATTGCCAGGAGGTAAGTAAGTAAGTAAACTTTACTTGTATAGCACCTTTCCCAGGCATAAGCCACAAGGTGCTTGACAACATTTTAAAAGTTTCAACAAGAAAAGAGAAAATAAAAACTGTGAATTAAAACAGTACATAAAAACAATTAATAAAAAAATATAAAAACATATCATAAAAGGCCAAGACCACACAGAAAACATAACAGGCCTACAATAACTAGACGGATGCCTGGACAAATAAATGAGTCTTAAGCTCGCTCTTGAACTTGTCGACAGAATCAATAGAACGCAGAGTGAGGGGTAGGTTATTCCAGAGCTTAGGAGCTACAGCTTTAAATGAACGGTCACCTCTAGTGCGATAGTAAGTGCGATGAACTTTAAGCAGATTAAGATCCCCACTCCTCAGAGCCCGCATAGGGGTGTAGGGTTGGATCAGTTCTCTAATGTAGGAGGGAGCTTGTCCATGCAGGGCTCTGAAAACCAAAACCAAAATCTTAAACTTGAACGTAAAAGACACAGGCAGCCAATCAAGTTCCTTTTGGATGGGGGATATGTGAAACCTCCTATTCGTGTGCATCAGGATTCTTGCAGCAGAGTTCTGCACTAGTTGCAGACAGTGGAGCTCCTTCTTGTTCAGACTAGAAAGCAAACTATTACAATAGTCTAAACGGGATGACACAAAGGCATGAATGAGGAGCTCCAAATCATTTCTTGACACCGTACGTCTAAGTTTCGAGAAGTTCCTTAGTTGAAAAAAGCAGTTTCTCGTTCGCTGCTTACAGTGCTGCACGAAAGACATTTCACTGTCAAAGATTACCTCTAAATTTCTAAGGCTTAACTTCACAGATTGGCCCAATTCACCCAGGTACTGCTTAATCTCCGGGACAGAACCAACAGGGGCGTCCAAAGTTTCTGTTTTGTTAGCATTTAGCTGCAGGGGATTTTCATTAAGCCATTTCTTTATCTCCACTAAACAGTGGAGAAAAGAGTCTTAACTTATTCAGCTCAGACTGCTTAAAAGAGCAGTATAGCTGAATGTCGTCAGCAAATAGGTGGAATGAAACGTCACTAAACCTTTGAATGATCTTATCCAAAGGGGTCAAATACAACAAGAAAAGAGCAGGACCCAGGACGGAGCCTTGGGGCACTCCACTCAACAATTCTGCAGATTCTGACCTTATTTGGTTTGCTGTAACACTAAAGCTACGTTCTGATAAATAAGAGGAGAACCACTGAAGGACTGTCCCTGATAGTCCAATGTGGTCCCTCAGTCTCATCAGCAGAACCTGATGATCAACTGTATAGAAGGCTGAAGAAAGGTCCAAGAGAACCAGAACAGTGCGTTTTCCAGAATCAGCAGCCATCATAGGAGGCACTGAGTGGCATGGCCAAGTGTGGGGAATTTCCAACCTGGGAGGGAGGGGGAATGGAAGGAGACTGTACAGATGACGTGAAATTGTTCCAGCCCGTCAATCACAAGTTTAAAATGCAGTAGCCGCTGTTCTGCCACAGAGGGCAGCACTAAGACATTTTTAGACCTAGATTCTAGATTTAATCAAGTTTACACACACATGTCAAAAATGCACGGAAACAGAAAGATTGCATTTGTAAAAAACAATTATACAGTTAATTTGCAAAAAAAAAAATTTTGGGTTAAGTTACTCTTTAAAGTTATGAACAGTATTGAGAACGTTACTTTGAAAAAGTAATTAGCTAAAGTTACTGATTACTTTGTCAACAAAGTAACTCAGTTACTTACCAAGTTACAAAATTGTAAAGGTAACTAATTGCCGAGAAAATAACTATTTCATTACTTTTGTTCATTAAAGAATGTAAGAAAAATGGGTTCCCCTCTTAATTAAATGTACTTTATTTACTGTACATTACTACAATGCTGAAATATAAATGAGTAATAACTGGAATACAATAAAATGTATGTCTAAATTTTTTATAAAACCGAATAATTGAAATAAATGGGCACATAACTGGAGGAACTACAAGCAGGAACCTTACACTAGTCTAGACTATTCAGTCGTTTTGTGATATTTAACAACACCTCAATCAGCTAAAATTTATAATTGCAAATAGAAACACCTGTAAAGGTTCTTGAGCCATTAAATGGTTTCTCAGTCTTTTTCCAGCTTTAAATAATGCGTTTTTAGTAGCATTTCTGTTGCTGGTAATCTAGTGATGGTTAAATAAACAAATAATCATTTAAAATGACACTAGAAGAGGCACAAATCTAATGGAGGACTTAAATTTACTAACTTGGGTCAGACCCAAACACAGAAGAGCTGAAGCTGGATGATCAGTGATTGGTCATACAAACATAATGAGTTTATCTCTATGATTGAATAGATTCAGCTGGCATTACTTTAATTATTGGGTCAGCCTGATTGATAAGGGAAACATTAGCCATTACTAGTGTATTGGACTGACGTATCTCCCAAAGTTCCTTTATTACACATCAGAGTTATGAACTGCTGTATGAACAGTGTTTCCTTTTTGAGTTGTGGAGGAAGATTATTGTCTGGAACAGAGAAGACAAAAAGAACCAACTGACATGGCTCATGTTGACTTCTGTAGCATCAATTGAACTTTGCCTCGAATGATGGCAGTGGATTTTCTGCCTCGTCTTTTACATGAAGGGATTGTCTCATGGACCCCTATGAATGAAAATGCGACCCCCATTAACCTTCTGTTCCGCTCGCTTTTTGTGGACTTTTTGCAGCTACGCAGGTTTGATGTGTTGCGTCTGGATTTGTTCACAAGCGATTTCATTCATTTGCAGATGAAGCATGTGAAGATCAAAACCCATGCCTCTCTGGGCTACAAATATAGTTGGAGACACAAACAGAGGGGAAAAAAAGCACAATTTCTCAGTTGGTATAGCAGTAAATTTATTTTTTTTAGAATTTTGCATAGGTGAAAACTCAATAATTTGAGACATCTGTGTGATTTTCCTGTTGCAGTTTACCCCTCAAAGAGTCCTCATTATTGCTGGGCTTCACATGGCATTGCATATATGTCACCAAATGCAGATGGGGGTCCAGAAGTAGCCGGCGCTGGACAAAACACTACTTACTTTGGTGACTGGGCGTTAAAATGCTGAAATACTATGCGGTCTACGGTTATTACAATCACTCTAATCAGGACAACGAACGACATATGTTATTTGTGCTTCCTGAATGTAGTGCACCATAAATGGCTTAATTAAAGATAAAACGTACTGAAAGAAGGCTGCAGAAGTGGATCAGTAATCTACGGTTTACGACAGGAGCTGATACAGACAATGCTGGCGTTTACGGCAATTACTTTCTAACAGGTAAGAGATTACTGAATGTTTTATTAAACAGTTGCTTAGAGACAGCCATAAAACAACAGATTAACAGTTTTATACTGTTTTCACGTGTCCACGCTGCAAAAAGCTTTCAGAGGGTTTTTAGCAGTTAGCTTAGTGTTGTAACGTGGCATTTATACCTCATTGAAATCAAACTAAGCCTGCCACAATTAGTCGACTCGTCATGACGACGTCGACAAATGAAACAGTGAACTATTAATTTAATAGTCAACACGTCATTTATTTTATAAACATTTTTTTTATCTCGCCTGCTGCAGCACGTTCGGCAGTTGCTTCTTGTTTCTGCTCAGCCCAGTGGCTCAGCCGCCGCTTTATCTCCGAGGCGCATGCGCAGTAGTGGCCATCCAGATCAGCCTTTGTCACCAGAGAAAGAAAACATGTGAGCACAACAACAAAGGAAAGGCATGTAGAGTGCAAGTTCTGCAAAGTTAAACTCTCCTTTCACAGCAGCATATTGGCGATGCACGAGCACCTTAAACGGAAGCATGTCATGGCGGAGAACAAAGAGTCACCTCGGTAAGTCTACCTCTTGTTAGCTGCTAACATCAACAGAGAGTTACTTGTATTCATAGGCGTAGCAACCCCAGTAGTGGAGGCAATGGTATTACCTTTAGAACACGTTTGTATGTCACATATTTTTGCTCTAATTGATTAATAGGCTCACTCATGATTTATTTCATCCCACTATGTTACAGTGTTAATAAACGTGCTCCTCTTCAATGGATGAGTTTGTTACGTGCACACCTCAGCAAGCTACTGTCCTGACTGAGGCCATTGTGAGCAGGCTGGACACAAGCCTCCTGTCCATGGTCAGTGATCAAGGTTTCAAACAGATCATTAAGCAGTTTAACCCAGGATGCCACGACAACTACCTACCTATTAGCCTGATCCCATTTCATCACCATGGTGGTAAAGAAAGATGAAACAACCTTTAAAGTGTGTGTGTGCGCACGCACAATGCATCGCGTCTTTGTCTCTGTTTCTCTCTAAACATAAATAAAATAAACATTAGAATATAATGCGTTTTATGGTAAAATAAGAAGGTTGCTGATGGAGCAATCAAGAAACTAATATTTTTGAAGGATAATACATTTTCTTTGAGTAAACTCTTAACCTACGTTATTTGATATAACAGAATTATTAATTAGGCAAATAAACTAACTTTAATATATTTTATGTTTATGATAAAGCAGACCCTCAGAGCTGTCGATGATCCCCTGACTGCTAACGTGTGGACCAGCCGTGCTACAGAGGCGTACCTTGGTGTCTCCTGCCATTTCCTGAGTTAAGATTGGAAGATGAAGCGCTTAAACCTTGCCACCATGCCTCTTGTGAACACAAGTCATTTTTGTGTGCAATTTATTTTTGGTTTTAGGTGTGTACCTCCATCTGACTGTAGCATTTGTATTAACAGGTTACAAAGTGAATTAAAAGTTGTTTGATAAGCAATAATCTTGTCTTTATAATGAGATGGCACATAGCTGATCACACTTCAGACTAGAAGCTAATGATGGGTTATTAGAGCATCCTGGTGCAACAAACTATAGGGAGCCTAAGCCTCCCCCCTTTCCAGTCTGCATTACCCTCTGTTTTTCTTTGTGTCTGACTTGATGATGTCACTTTTGTGATGTGTATTTGTAGTCAATCAATCAATCAAAAATGTATTTATATAGCATTTTTCATACAAATGATGCAACTTAAAGTGCTTTACAGATAAAAATGACCCCATAAAACCTATATTCCATCCCTTTCCCATCCATATAAAAGTTATTAAAAAATTATAATTCTATTCAAAAATACTTTATTAATCCCAGAGAGAAAGCAGCCCATTTCCCAGGTACACACACACACACACACACACACACTCACACACACACACACACACACACACACACACACACACATACACACAGACACACACACACACACACACACACACACACACACACACACACACACACACACACACACACACACACTCGTATGCATAGCAGATAAATCAACAAGAGTAAACATTTGGCCAAGTTCAGTTGGCTCAGGTAATGAACAACTCGCCATCAGGGGAGCCATCTGCCTCTACAGCAGCAGTTCCACGGCAGCAGCCGAAGCACCGACCCCGGGCACCCAGGGATGGAGGGCAGAAACCCCCACCATCCCCAAGCACTCGCAGGGAGCGCCCAGGCAGCCGCCGCTGACCACCATCCCCGAGGCAGAGGGCTCCACAGAGGAAACACTGGAACGAATAAAATAAATAATATGTAAAATAACAAGAGCTAGTAAAAATAACTAATACAAGTAGATTATGGAGATAATAAAACATTAAAATAGAAATGTGTAATAAAACTTAACTGTAAAAAAATAAACAGATGAATAAAAACAAGAATGCAGTTCAACAGACTAAATAAATAGTGATCAGTTAAAAGCTGAAACAAAAAAGGTGGATCTTGAGCCTGTTTTTAAAAACGTGAACATTCTTTACGGTCCTGAGTTCCCCCGGCAGCCCATTTCATAGGCGAGGGCCATGATAGTTAAAAGACGCCTCGCCGTGAGTATGTGTCCTGAAATCACGAGGAGATGGCTGCCGGAGGAGTCAACACATTATCACACCCAAAGCGTCAAAATATGACGATTAGGGAGCCCCAGCGCATCGGGAGAGGACGCGCTGGAACACGCAGGGACACGTGTTACCGGGGGCGTCAGTATCCGACACCCGCGATGGCACGGACATTATTCCTCGAACCTCTAGCGACCTAACCTTCCCCTCACCCCCATCCTAATCGAGGGTTCGTATGGTAAAAGCAATTCAGAAAGATAAGAAGGCCCAAGACCATTAAGACACTTAAAAACCATTAAGAGAACCTTAAAATCGATCCTGTAATGTACAGGGAGCCAATGCAGCGATTCTGGAGTGATGTGCTCCCGCTTCCTGGTCTTCATCGGGACCCGTGCTGTAGAATTTTGTAGAAGTTTTAAACCAGAAATACTCTTTTTAGGAAGACCAGAAAGCAGGGCATTACAGTAGTCAATTATATTAGTGATAAAAGCATGCCATAGCGTCTCCATATTGGCCCGAGAGAGAAAGGGGCAGACTCTGGTGATGTTCTTTAGATGATAAAAGCCTATTTTGGTTATGCTTTTAATATGAGGGATAAAAGTTAGCTCAGAGTCAAAAATCACACCCAGGTTCTTTACTTGTGAAGAAGGATTAAAAGACATTGATTTTAGTTTTGGTAAAAATTTCTCTCTCTGAGCCTCAGGACCGATGACTAAAACTTCTGTTTTGTCCTGGTTGAGCTGGAGAAAGTTTCCTGCCATCCAGGAATTCAATGTCTAAAATACAGTTAAAAAGTGCATCCAGTGGCTGTGTGTCACCAGGAGACACGGAGATGTACAACTGCGTGTCGTCAGCATAACTGTGAAAGTCAATCCCATGTCTTCTTATCACGCCGCCAAGAGGGTGCATATAATGGTCTAAAATTGAACCCTGGGGCATACCACTTGTGATACTTTGGATCCCAGAAGAACAGGTATCCAAAATTACCATATAAGTCCTGTCTGTGAGGTAAGAAGTGAACATCTATGAACAGCACCGGATAGCTCATTCTACTTAACCGAGGGAAATAGTCCTGGACTTATTTTCACACAAAACCTAAAATAACATTCTCCTTGTTTGAAAATAAGTGCGTTCCTGGTGTCAAAATGCGTGTTTAAAATTCACGGACATCGTATGTGAAATCCATGGCACATAACAAGCGGAATTAGAAAATAGCGTTTTAAGCCCCATTGACTTGCATTCATTTTTTTGTTTTTCCGGGGACCCATGACGCGGAAGTAGATGGGCATGACTTAGGCTCCCTATACTTTTATGCATGACACGATTAGTTGACTAATCGTCAACAAAACTGGCGATTAGTCGACTAATAAAATAGTTGTTAGTGGCAGCCCTAAATCAAACGTACCAGAAATTTGGATTTAAAAATGCATAAGAAATTGGTTACAGTAGATCCTACCACATACTGATCATTAGCATTTGCGATAGCGTTATTATCATGAGTAAAAAAAAAAATAGCACAACTCACTACTTAACTGAGAAAAAACAAGAAGATTGTCATTTAAATCGTCATCACTAAAAGCTTAACCAACCTGAAATAAACTAGCTGTAGGCTTCCAGGCTTGTAAAAGTCTTTCGTTTGGTTTGCAGTGTAATATGAGGAAGGCAGCACAAGGTAGTTTGTTGCTAATCGCTTCAGCCCTGGGCAAATCCTCCACAGCGTATGAAAAGTGCGACTTTTAAAACTATATGGGTCATAACCTAAAAGAAGATGTATTTTTTCGCTATATCGCGTGTGTGACAGCTCATTTAAAGCCTTAGTAAAATCGCTTTCATCCATCGTGCTGTTGTATCTCTGTGCTTTGTTGTAGAGCAAACACTTCCTGCCCCGGGCAGGAAGTCTGCATGGCTGCAGACATCAAGTGAGTCACGTGAATGAAACCCGGCAATAAGGTCAAGCTGTGACTGCTTAAACATTGTCACAACTTGGCTTTTTAAGTCACCAAACCTCTCCTTAAATGAACTCTTATACCTCCAACTTTGACTCCCAGAAACTAGACTCAAAAGGGTGTTGGTCTTCTACAACAGCTCTGTGACCATTTTCATAGAAAACCTTCTTGAGTGAGTTTTGAGTGTGATCACAATTCTTTAAACACACAAGCAAAGCCCGGCGACTCGCATGAGGAAATAGAGAACCCTAGTGAATGTTTAGAGACATTTTGGAGACTCCCATGCAAAATGCCGTTTGGAATTTATCAACGATGGGTGAAGACCAATGAGATGCTGGCTTTGCAGATTCAAACTGAATCACAGATATTAAGCTTTCAAGGAAGTGTTGTCTTGTTGATAGTGTATCCAGATGCAAAATTAGTTGGTCGTAGGTTGCAGATTCATAAACTTATTTTAAATTTTTCTTAGAATTTTAAAATTCTGTCATAGTTTTTTTAAGCAGTAGCTCAGGAGGTAGAGCCGTAATCGGACGGTTGCAGATTCAACCCCGCCTCTGACGAGGGAATGCTGTTGTTGTGTCCTTGGGCAAAACACTTTGCCTTATGGTTGAGGTCAGAGGGAACCAGTGGTGCCAGTGTTCGGCAGGCCTCACCTCTGTCAGTGCGCCCTAGGACAGCTGTGGCTACGTTGTAGCTCATCATCACCAGCTTGTGAATGTATGAATGACTGATTGTATTGGGAAGGGCCTTGGGGGCTTTTTCAGTTTTCCAAAGGACATTTCCGGTGAAATGATGATAATGACATCAAAAGGAGCCAGTTTAGGTGGTTAAGGCATCTGGTTAGGATGCCTCCCTGCTGAAGTTTGAAAGGAAGACCCAGGGGATGCTGGAGAGACAATTTTTCTCGGATGGTTGGGAAACACCTTGGTATTCCTCCGCCGGAGCTGTCCCAAGTGACTGAGGAGAGGAGAGGGAAGTCTGGGCCTGCCTGACCACAATAAGCAGAAAATGGATGGAAGGAAGTATTCTGCAAATGAAATTTCAAGTCAAATGATTTCAAATACTAGCCTGGCCAATAGGAACTCTCCTATTCAAAAACCTCACCCCCATAGAATTCTAACCGAGCCAATCAGCGCTGAGCAGCTGATGTCACACACTTCAACGCTCAGTTTCTCACAAAAACGAAGATGGCGTCTGAAGCGGAGTTCGCTGTGGCTCTTTACTCTGTTCTAAACAACTTGGGCATGTCATTAAAACCACAAGTAGAGGCACTGAAAATCTTTCTTCTAAAGAAAGATGTATGCTCCGTCGCCAGATGCCATTTTTGACTACAGCTAAGACAACTAGTGTCGCACAGTTCAGTCGGCCTTTCCACCTTTTTTCACATTTGTTATTTTTGAGCTGGGTAGTCCTGTCTCTCATGTGCCTCTCTGCCTGTGAGTAACCAGACTCGTTCTCTGTGTAGAAAAGACAGAGGACAAGTCTAGCAGGCCAGGCTAGACAAACACAACATGATTTCAGTCATCACAGCAACCAAAGAGTCATTTTCTAAATATGTTTGCTCCTTTTAGGTAAACCCATAGATTCATACTCCTTCACTGTGGTTAACTGGTCAGAACCTGTTTCAGACCCAGGCAGCTGTGAGATCCTGCTCCTGGGCCATGGGGATGTGAAGCAGGCACCGTCTAGCCTGGCAAGCCAGACTAAATAAATGTATTATTTAGTCTGGCCATGCTCCATTGACAGCTCTCGGTTGTGGGGCGGGTTCTACCGTTGTCTTTCAAATGATCTCCGCATTCCACTGGACAATGAATGTGACATACTCTTGTTT